CCCCAAAACCCCAAAACCCCAAAACCCCTCAGATTCTTAAACATATTGATTCCCCATATATTATACTGCTATCTACAAGCCTAGTAACGCTAAAAAGGAGAATACACAACAGTTAGATACATGCTGAAGATCTTAATTTAGTGCTGCAGAGAGTTATACTTGGAGACTTCTTCCATTCTCGTTATGCCAAGCTGAAATAATTTCATTTCTTCTTTTCCACTTTGGAGTTTTCCCTGCTCATAGTTCCTCTCTGTAGGATTCTATTAGTCAGGTTATCCCTGTAAGACGAGTTATGCTTCGCCCGCACTTCAGCAGGGCGAGGTAAGGACTTTCCATTCAGCCTAGATTTGTCGCTCTTCAATGTTTCAATGTATTTATTGCTATTTTGTTAGCCAGAAGAACGTACTTTTTATTTATTTTTCTTTGGCTTCTTTTCCATTCTGAAAATTAACTAAAAAAGTTTACCTTCAACTTTCTTGCGTTCTTTCTCTATCTTCTTGATGTACCTATCAGATCCTTGAGTGTTGGCTCGCTTAAGGTACAGCTCGTTCTTAGTGCCTATGACACTTAGGATCCAAAATTACCATCAGATTGTTCAGATTCTTTATCATAGTTTGTACTAAACAAGCGCTGGTAGATATTTGCCTTATTTGGCTTCTCATTCAATGATTCTTTGGACTCCGTCACGTTTATGTTACCCTTAGTAGTTTTGAGGATGATCTAGAGGTCAACTAATTATAATTACAAAAGATTCATTCTGAACAGAACCCTCTGGTTCTCTATGAAAGTATTCATTGGCTCCTTTCTCATTACTTGGTATTCTTTTGTGAGTTGTTCTTTGAAAGCTTCTCGTTAATGGCGTTCTTTAGCTTCTCTCCTAGTGATTCAGGGTCTTCAATATCCTCGGTGGCTTCTTTGGAGGTGTAGAGATCATTGGAGCCGCCACCTCTACCATCAACAGAGGTCCCAATCTTTGATTTTGAGTTGCTGATAACTGACATAAAGTTGTTCCTTTTCCTCCTTTGAAGCTTGGATTTACCTTGGTTGAACTGTGAATTGCTATTCTTCTCTGTCATAGGCTCCAAACTCTGGTATTTTGGGTCTCTAAAAATAGTAAAAACTATGAGGTACTGGGATATATAAATTTCATTCTTAATTTTCTTCAGAATATCTCTGCGTTTCTTCCGACGTCTAGTCATTTTCTTCTGCGAGGGCACCTTGCCTGCCTCATGTTTGATAATCTTTGTCTATTAGTTTATGGAGATGTGTTACATTAGGCCAGTACTTTTGTTGAAGAACCAGCTTCATTTTACCTATTTTCTTTCTTTGAAAGTTTTGGACTAAACCTTAGTAGAAAAACATACCTAAGTCTAATGCAGAAGATTCACGATTGTTTGGAGGCCTAGATAATTAAGCAGAGACTGCTTACATTATGATAGCAGAGCTATTTATATCAGTTCTTTCTGGAAGAGGCGAATGCTGCTTGATCCTACACATTATGTACACAAGGCGAACTTGATGTTAAAACTTTTCTTCACTCTTCGACTTCTAAGATTTGTTCTTGGCCTCATACACAGTTGATCAGTAAGTCTAGTCTCATAAATTAGGTGGATCATTGCATTTTTCTTTTTCTGGCTTATAGGGAACTTGATGTTCTGTGAAGCTACTGAAATTACCCAAGATTTACCCATGTCTTGTAATGATAACTCTAAAAAATATTAAATTAGAGTAGTACTTGCGCCTTTGGAACTTCGCTTATTCCGCTTATGCTTCTTATTTGAATTGCCTCTGCTATTTCTCTCTCCGTTTGATAGTCTTTCTGCTATTAATCAGGTCATTAAGGATAGAATTTCTGCTGATCCTTTTCTCTGATTTCTTGTTCTTCTCTATATCTGATTTTAGGGCAAAATAGGTCAGATTAATACTTAGAGAATATAAAAGGGAATCTGCTAGCTTACCAACAGTGATATTGAGCCCAATCTCTCTGCTTAGGCTGGCCTTGCTCTTTGATAGCTCCATTAATTAAAATTATTTCAATTTTATTCTCATCTAAAGGGGTTTTGGGGTTTTGGGGTTTTGGGGTTTTGGGG